GGAAGCTGCTCTGAGGTCTCCACGCCGCTTCTCTTCTCCAGGCTCAACAGCCCCAGCTTTCTCAGCCTGTCTCCATACGGGAGGTGCTCCAGCTCCTGATCATCCTCGTGGCCTCCTCTGGACTTGCTCCAACAGCTCCATGTCCTCTTTATGTTGCGGACACCAGAACTGGACACAATACTCCAAGTGAGGCCTCACAAGAGCAGAGTAGAGGGGCAGGATCACCTCCTTTGACCTGCTGGTCACGCTTCTTTTGATGCAGCCCAGGATATATGTTCATGCAATGCAGTAAAAACTCATGTAAAGAGTCTAAACGTTTGATCACTGGTGAAGCAGCATGGTTTTCTCATGCTGTTGGCTTTCCACTCAACTTGAATGATTTGAACTGTCTTTTACAAGGCAGTGGTCCAGTTCAACTGAAACGTAAATGTACTCAAACAGCTCCTGAACCCTGAGTTTCAGCTGCTAATTCAATGAGGAAAAACAGTTTTGTGTAGCATAGTAACCCAGCAAATAACATCATTTTCCTCCTAGATGGTATGAATCTATTACCAGGAAGGTCTCAATCTGACACCAAGCCTAAGGCATTTCATTTTAACCTTTTCCATGACACAAACAGCCTCCCCCTTGATTCCTTAACTGAGACTGTTCCTTTCCAAATGGCAAATGTCTGTCAAGTACTAGTGAGTTTGCGTACAGGTGCTTAACAGATGCACAGCACTTAACAATCGAGTCCATAAACTATTTGATGGGGGGGGGAATCCCAACACTTACAGTAGACAGTTCCAAAAGCTCACCGTGTTATATATGTTAATATTGCCTTTGTACACCTTTTCTAGATGCATCAGGAGAAAATACACCTTTGCTGCCTTAGAGACATTTATCATGTTTTACTATAAACTAAGACAATTAAGTGGGGCAAAGTAAAGTGTAACAGAATATGGCAGAAGGGCTTGCACGTAAAATTTACCCCCTCCAAAACCTACATAATTTATATATTTCCCTGTTAAAATAAGCTGCATGTTATGCTGTACATAATGGGTTATAATTACGTTTCTTCCCAGAAGAGACAACATGCACTACCCCAAGACTCAAAATCACTGTAATCTATCATTTTTTGAGCAATCCCAATTATGTATTCTAACTCTAAGTAGATGGTATCGGTACTAGTCTTAATCTCCACTAAAAGTCACCAACATTTTAAACAGCTGTGTGTATTTCAACCCTTTTTCACTTCAGGCATCAAGTGGAAAGGCAGGAAAGAGAAACCACAGCAATATACTGCCTAGAATAACAAAAACCTGGACATATTTCAGAAGACAAAAAAGCAAGATTCGTAGTCTAATGCACTTTAACCTTTAACAACTCTGGGTCTTCATTTTACTAGGCTGACCTCAGGAAGTTTGCCGACAACACCAAGCTGTGTGGCTCGGTTGATATGCTGGAGGGAAGAGATGCCATCCAGAGGGACCTGGACACGCTTGTGAGGTGGGCTGATGCCAACCTCATGAAGTTTAACCAAGACAAGTGCAAGTTCCAACCCTAACTATTCTATGATTCTATGATTCACAAAGGTAAAGCATTACATTTGAAGATTAGGTTTCTGGGTTTCCTTTGATAAAAAGAGATCACAGACAACATTAAAATGTCCAAGTTAAAAAAGGGTTTAGAATCATAGAAGGGTTTGGGTTGGAAAGGACCTTAAGGTCACCTAGTTCCAACCCCCCTGCCATCGGCAGGTTTAGGAGATATCTCGAATGAATCCCCTTGCTGGGTCCTGAAATGTGAATCCAAAGAGGCCACTGACATGGACAAAGCAGGCTGGATGCGTGGGAA